TATATATATATANACACACACAANATATATATATATATATATATATATATATATATATATATATATATATATATATATATATATATAGGTATACATATATATGTATGGCATGTGCATATAGTACAAATCTACATGCAAGTGTATATTATCAAACACAGGTACATAAGGTATATATATACTTAAGCATGTTTATATCCGGATATTTAAAGCATGTGAGCAGATCCCAGATTATATCTGAATAAATATTTTATAAACAATTATACCTGAATATATATTTTTCATGCATATGTATTTGCATATCGAAGTATCAAAGGCACGGATGAGTGTGTGTCGTTTCTGGACTTGTACGTTTTATTCTTTATTTTTGCAATCTCAGGTGTATTCAAACCAACACGAAACCAAAGAAAGCTCCTTGCAAGACCTTCAATAGTCAGGTGAACAAAGCGCTTAAGGAAACCAAACAAAGCTCCTGGTAAGACCTGCGATAGTCAGCTGGACGAAGTGCTCAAGGCAACCCGCTTGAGAGAAAAAGTCATCCCTCCTAGACTCTTACCAAGTCTAAAACTCAATACACACCATGCGTGTATCTACATGCTGAATGATCTCTCGAAGGACTTGCAAATTAACCTGTAAATATGGATCAGTAGACTGTCTCACGGTCAGCAGCTCAAACTGCATGCAAATTGGACTTGGGGTGGGGTGCGGGTTCTAAATATTGTATCTTAATAGTATTCACATCAATAGCTTGTGAAAGCCCGAGAATTCGCTTGTATGGAAGCTGCTTCAAATGAATGTGTATGTGCGCGCTACATTTTAAAAGTCGCTGGTTAGAGTTGGGACACTGTAGTTTTCATCCCCTCTTAACGCCGCCGAAGCACCCGGTAGATTACCCCATTATACACCGAGCAGCCTTCTGATGACTAGAGCGAGGACTTTGATCACAAGCCTTTGTGCCTATTTCGCGACTTTCTATTCATAACCCGAGTATGCATTGCGGGAAAGTTCTCCTTCTTTTTGGCCGCTTGTTGTTGCTTTTGACAGGTTCGAGGGCAAATCTAGCTGCTTCTTGTTCGGTGAACGACCAGGCCAGCTTAGCTTGTCTGTCCATTTGTTCGTCCGGCACTTTGCAAACATTGAAATGCTTGACCTCCAGAACCCTACCACCGCCTATACAGCTTTCGGGATATTTACCGCTGTGTGACGAATTCATTGAATTGATTTGTAGTACCTGTTCCGAATCCGTGGGTAACAAAAGTTTGTGATTTGTCATGGCGTCATACATGAGTTTGTTCTCTGAATCTAAAGAATCTTTGTGCGTTTTGTACTGCAATACACTGGTGCAGGTGGACGTGAATTTAGGCATTGTTTGTCAAATCCGAAGTCGTACAAAAAAAAACTCGTTTGCCGATCTCGTTATTCGAAGCGAACAAACATTACTACTGTCAGATGTGATGGCTATATCCATACGAATATATCATTTATCATTTATCATACTTTCTATATACATATGAATATATCATTTATCATTTATCATACTCTCTGTTTCTACAAGAAGGCGATGGAAGTGTATTTATTATTTTTAGAACTATGAAGGAAGCAAAACTCATTAGGAAAAACCAGTATTTATATAGTCCAGTCCAAACTGTAAATACCTTCTTTGAAGGCCATGTAAATACGTGAAAAAGATTAAAAAAAATACACGATAAAGTTGTTTTTTTAAATTTCATTTATTGTTGGTTTTGTTTAAAAAAACAAACAAAAATTACATAATAAGTTAAAATTACTGTAAATATAAAAAAATAGGACTACCGCTGATTTTCAGGAATGAAATGAAATGAAAAATATACAAAATATTTCAAACTGAATTTACTGAATTTACACTATTTACACATTGCACAGCCACAACAAGTCCACAACCAAAGTGTCAGGTGAGCACTGAACAAGCACTGGATATTACGTTTGTTTTTTATAAATATATTAATAAAACAGAATCAAAAACAAACATGTTGATTTTTTAAAATAAAAGTAAAATATTTGTCTTTCAAAATCTGCGCACCATAATGTACAATCTATAGCGGCATACATAGCCTTCTAAAAAGAACACATACAGGCGGTGCTAAAAAAACACATGCCCATAATTAAAAATACACTGTACAGTGTACAATTGTATTTTAATGTACATGCAAACTATTCTATTTTTATTATTATTTAGCCTCCTGATGAATATCCTCACAATTACTCACTACTAAGTAGGCTACTGACTATTAATACGCATTTTACATCGTACACTACCTAGTACCTACAGTCTACACTACAGACTACAAATGTACAATCTGTCGTTCTGTACAGCTGAGTACTGAGTACAGAGTACAGACTACTCTCTACAGAGAGACTGATAAGAGTTTGTAGTAGAGTACGGATTACAAACCAAACTAGCGCTATTTACTATAAATAAAAGGAAGAAGGGTACAGTATGTAATTACTCATTACAGTATGTAAATATGCAATTTTTATATGTAAATAGCGTTGTATTCAAATAATTTATTTTTTTGAGAAGTATAGTAGATAAAAAAGACAAAAGGAGTAACACTTTGTATACCTATAGTCCTACAGGCCAACACCAGTGAGTCAGCGACTAAAAAGTACTAACTGACTACAGGTGACTGACTAATGACTAATGACTAATGAGTAATGACTATTGAGTATTGATCAGGTTACCATTCAGTGCACTCACTCGTCGCCAGTCACCAATTCACCATTCACCAATTACCACTGAGACCTGAGTGATCAACCTACGGTCTACCAAGACCCAAATATGTGAATACCAGTCCAGGACTCCGCAGAGGAGACCAGGAGTCCAGGGACCAGGACCCAGCCACCCAGCAGACTAATTTAGTAATTAGCACCCAAGGGCCAGGTCCAGTATTTTTACTCCAGTTGTATGTATTTACAAATGGAGTAATTTGATTTATAAAAATATTATAAGTTTTGGTAGAAATTCTAGAAGAAGCTTTTATTATTTTTATCATAATTGAGTATTAATATATTATACTCTCTTGCAAGTGTTGTAGAGACGACAGAGACGAGCAACTGGCCGACTGCGAGTGCAATTTGCGACTTCTTGCAACTTAGAGAGTTGCAAGTTGCGAATACGAAGTTGCGACTTGCACAAGTTGCGACTTGCGAAGTTGAGGCCTAACCTCAAACCGGTTTCCGTTAAAATCTTTATAAATCGAATAGATATACGTTCACATTCAACTTTTTTTTCATATGCAGTCCTTTGTATGCTTATGGGTGCAACATTCGGGTCTAAACATGTATGTATACCTTGTTCACGATATGAACCAGTCCTATGAAAGAATTTAGGAAGGCCCTTCTGATTACATTATCACCGATATAACGATATAAAATTGAATAAAGATGCGTTTACGTTCGACTATCCCGTACCCCCATAACGTTATGAGCTTAGGTTGAGAACTTGAGGCTGTAGAGTCTCTCTCGCAGTAGAGTCTCTACCCTAAAGAGTCTACTCTCTATTATAGCTAGATTAGTAGACAGATAGACACTCTAGCTCTAGTTGAGAGAGTACGATAGTACTTCCAAGTCCCAAGTCCCATTTCCCAACAGGCCAAAACCTCCCATAGACACGGGGGGGTTTTTTAACGGTTTCATATAATTTTTTTGTACAGGAGCCTACAACAAGAGAGAGAGAGGAGATAGTCTGGCCATTAGATTCAGGGGAGCTGAACTGTCTGAAACTAGATAATAGTTTTATTTTAAAAAAATCCTAAAAATAATAAAAATAATAAAAAGCCTAGTCTTTAGACTGTAGAGTGTAGATAGTGTATATTATTTAATAATAATATTAAACAAATACTAATATTTATCAGTTAAACATTTCGTTTTTATTCAAAAAGATATCTTTTTATACAAAAAAAGAACAAAAAAATTGCTGTGGGGTGAAATGTCTATTTATTTATCAAGAAGACTATGGGTGCATAATGTTTTCGACAGTCGACACAGATTCAGGATCTGCTTGTAGTTCTCAATTTCTCTCACACGAGTGACACGACAGATGACACTCTGTGACTCGAGTCACTCACTCTCGAGTCTCCAGTTTTTTGTTTTTTTTTAAACTTCCGCACTCCGCACACAAGGCCCACAGGCCGCAGCAGTCTGGGTCCAGGTCGTTCACCCTGGGTTTGTGGCCTGATTTCATTTTCACCGTAAATATTTCCAAAACTACAAAGAGAGGGTCATGGTACCAATTCGCAGGAAATTTCAAATTATGTTTCATGCAGGCTATGGAAATTATAATATGAACATACAGATTTAGGGTCAATCAGGATGGTTGGGTTTTAATTCTCCCCAAAACAAAATCGTCATCACTTTTACGGTGACATTGACAGTCTCGCTTCTAATTATTTATATAAAAAATCAAATGTATAGGCGTACAACATGCACGCCATTCAGTAACAGTAGTCTAAAAAAGATAAATACAATATATGCATAATTAATAGAATACATGCCCGACATATGCATGTTGAGAGTCTGATTTTCTTCTACACGAATACATACCTTGACAACAAAATCCTGTTGTATAAATGTAGGATATATGTATGATACATTGAACACATATCTGATATCCGCATGCTGTTACACCAATGTGGTGTTTTATAGGCTGAAGTATCCAGAACTGATCGATAGATGTATCAAATATCAATCGAGTTGACGTAATTATCACAGCGAAATAGAGCAATGGGTACTATGACCAGGGACCGTGAAGATATACTGTATGAGCTCATAACTGCGTGCATTGAACTCGGCATTGATGCAACTGCCGTTCCAAGCAGCGATCGCCTTATACATGCTGGCCCTGAGAATACTGAGGTAAGCAGGTCTCAAGGCAATAGCATATGACATCGCTCGTCAAGATAAACGTACTCTCCATATCGACGAGATATTCAAGTTGCTTCTCCTCATACGCTTCCTATCCCTTCGTATAATCAGCATAATATATTTGTGCTGAACATATTCCTCCCTATCCTTTCATACAGGAAATTAAAACTCTTATGCTAAACTCAGAATTATCATTGATCAGATAAATTTTATATTAGCATTGGACTCACATTTCCATCCACCTACGCAACAGACAATTAGCTCACAAACAGTCCACGGGATCACAAGGCCCATCAGGCAGAGTAAGTATTGCTTTTCAATCATGCTCTCGTCTACTATCTTACTTTGCTTGAAATGGACGGATGTATTCCGGATTTGTAGATATATTCAATGCTGCGATGCATTGTTTTTGTTTGCATTTAACATTTGATTCTATTGATGAACATATGTTTCGTGATTGTCTACAGATATTATGTGATAATTGATATATAGCTTCCTAGTCACTGTATACGAATTATGTCTTGTGAAATTCGACAGATTGTTTTTCCCATTCGTCGCACCAGTCTTGATGTGTGCGTAGTGTTTTCAACCTCGAGAAGCACCTAAACGCTTAACAAGTGTTTACCTTGGGCGTGTGTGTAGAGGTTCGAGACGTAAAGCATTTCACTATTGTAGAGATCTCAGCCTCTCTATTACTCAATCTGCACAGGCAAAAGACTTGCACGTGCTGGCATAATAAAATCTATATACACCACCACATCGGCAGCTGATAGAGCAACTCTGCAGGTATGTGAGCTTTTTTGTTCTGGGTGTGTACACGCCCCAAACCACAGATACATAGAAAACTGGTTAGATGACAGTACATGGCCCAACTATATATACTATGTGTGTGAGCATTATCTTATCTAGGACTATACACATATACAAATATATAGATATATAGATATATATATAACTCATATATATGTATATATATACATGATATATAGATATATATAAATATGTCTATA